CGTACTGAATGTAGTTTATATTCACAAGAATACTAATCCATTAGATTACATTTAATGACTTTAGTATTGTTTGCAATCTAAAATCAAATTTCAAGACGGTGAGTTTACTCTTAATGTGAGGGAGTGAAAATCCACTCTTTTTGAGTGAATTGTCACTCTTTTAAGGAGTGAGTTGAGGGACCACTCTTTAAAGAGTGAAAGCTGCTTTTTGAAAAGATTGAATACATTTCACTCTTTGAAAGAGCGAAAAAGAGTGAATCAATAATATTCACTCCCAAAAGAGTGGAATTTCACTCTTTGAATAATTATTCAAAGAGTGAAGTTTCAATCGAAAATAGAGGACAAATGTTTTGTAAAGTGGCTCTGCTGGTTCAATGATTAAATGACAATATTGAACACAGTAAGAAGGTGGAATAATAGGCTTAATAATAATAATAATTATTATTGTTATTATTAAGAAGATGGAATAATAATAATTAATATTATTATTATTACTTCTATGATGATGATTATGTTAAACGATGACGACGTCGATGTAGGTACGGTGTGCTGTCCATTCACTGCACCTACTGTACCGTACGACTTGGTTTATACAAATATTTAAACATACAGTAATTTACTTTTCTTTGCACATTTCATTTCACTAAAACAGTTATACTGTACGTACTTAAGTACAGTACATAAGCACAAAAATTCGATTTAATGAGATAGATTTTTAAAGGTAAAAAATTATTGCTTGAAGGCCTGCATGCCGAATAAACAATCGCATAAATCTGCGGTATACCACTGAAAGAACTGTTTGAGAATGTCTCTCCCAAACAAGTCTGTGCATAAAGTAGTATTCAAAGGCACATTAGGATGGGGTGGTCAAAATCGCATTAAATGTTTGTGCAACCATGGAGGCCATGGGGCAACCATACGCTACGGTTGAAAATAGGTCTATGTGTAGAATGCATGTAGGCTATGCGGGAATGCGATGTTGAAAGTTGAAACTTTGAATACTCAATCAAATGCTGCCACCTTCGACGAGTCAGCTTCTATAGCAAAATGCTCACACTTACCCACAGACATTATGAATGGTAGCATGTATTTCAATTTTTTCTCTCTGGCTAATTGTCCACGTTTGCGCTAATCTGCTAAACAAGAAATGATAAATTTATTTATATTTACTTCATCATTCATAATTATTATTATTATTATTATTAAAGGTTTATTCAAAACATATTGCGGTCACAGCAAAAGCTGAATTAATACAATATTTACAGAAAACACTAAAAAAAAAAGCAAATACAATATATAAAACCAGCACATATAAAAAAAATTCATTACCAAGAAATTTCATTATGACAACAAATTAAAGCTACTAATTTTGTCATTAAACAATTTAACCATGAATGGAATTGGACTATGACTATGACGTTTAGTACGGATTTGAGGCATGGCATTTCTGAGGGAGAAACCACTTTCTTCAGATCTTAATTTTGGAATTCATTAGACTTCATTAGGTAAATAGCAAAAGTGTAACAAATGTTGTCCCGTCTCTTCTTTAGCTCCTCGATATTACACTCAACAAGAGCCAAATTATAGGATGAGTATTTAATCCCTAATATTATCCTACAGGCTCTTTTCTGGATGCGTTCTAGAGCAAGATGCTGCATTTGTGTAAGGCCTGGATGCTATACCGGCACTACATATTCGAGCAAGGGTCGAAAAATTCCAGTAAAAATAGTAATTAAATCTTGAACAGATAAACCAAACCGTCTAAGTACTAATTAGAAATAAACGACCACTTGCACGCTTAAGAATATCACCAATGTGGGCGTCCCATTTCAGATCACTGGTAATTTTTACACCAAGTATTTTGAGCATGTTTACACGTAGAAGATCTCGTCCACATAATTTCAGTGGTAGAGACGGAGATGGTGTTTTCACAAAGGTAATATCCATATACATGCACTTGGTTGGGTTGAGGGTCATGTGGTTGACCTCAGCCCATTTGCAAAAATCGTCCAACTCAATCTGCATGCTACTACATTGATTATTGAATGTATTTTCAACTATCATAAGGTCATCAACATATTTTAATGACATTTTATTATCAGAATCAATTCTAGCTGCATCATTAACTAGACACATAAAAATTACAGGGCCACTAAGCGTTCCTTGTGGAACACACCCAAAAATGTTTTTCCAATTAGACAAGAGTGTTTCGATATCTAACACACTGTAGACGGTTGGATAAAAAACTACACATCCATGGAATTAATGCAGGTCTAGCACCCATATCTAATAACTTAGGAATAGCGATATTGTGGTCCACTCGGTTGAAAGCTTTACAAAAGTCCGTAACAATTAGTCGTGAAAGGCTTTTCTGTAACTCGGCATGTTTGATAACGTTGTTTACTAGCTTAATCAAATAATGGCAGGAAGAGCTACCTTTTCTGTTTCCAAATTGACTGTTGTCGATTTGTGGGTTTATATCTTTAATTAACCAGTCATTAATAAAGGCTTCGGCTACTTTAGAAAAGTGGTCGGTAAGAGATACTGGCCGCAATTGATTCCAGATAGGGGGATTGGATTTTGGCAGAGGGACAACGATTGCACGTTTCCACTGGGGTGGAACTATTCCTTCTTTAAATGACGTGTTCAAAATATCCGTTAAAGGTTTGTAGGTGGTTTTTCGTATTTCATCTTGTGTTGAAATCCGCTGTCCCTTAGTGCTTTTTGGTACTCGGGGACGGCCTTTTGAAAAGTTGCTTCTGAATCGGAGTTGCTTGATATTCTTTTATTGATTGAAGTGGGGATTTGCTTTAAGATGGATGAAGGGCGGTTTGATCGTTTATCCACGTATAGTAATTTGTTGTCTGGTTTGGTGAACGGAGCATAGGATCCGTTAGGCAGGTTGAATGTGACATGAAGGAAGTTTGTGATCTTTATGTTTGCTTGTATAGTAATGCGGAGGTGAAAGGAGTGAAAGATGGATGTGATTTATTTCTTCATCTTGTCACATAGTCTTGGAGATGTGCTGCTCATGATGGCGAGGCCATCGTCTCGGTAGAGCCCGATGTTTGTTTTTCCGAGCTTTTTGGCGAGGTGGGAATGGATGTAATTTTAACGAGTTCACATATCTCTGCTC